GGATTTGAGGAACTCTTGGGAAGCATTTTCTGCATCCTTCTGGTTGTAGAAGCATTTTCCCCGCAAAAAGTTGTTGAGATGCTTGAAGAAGTGGTAGTCGGTTTGTTAGGTAGATAGTGAGGGATTCCAGGTCTCCTAGGAATGGAAGTGGATGCTGTTGCACCCATCTTGGTCCTGCCTAACCCTAATTCTCCATACCTGGGGGAGGAGGGAATCCCTATAAATCTACCAATCAGAGCTTGGTGTGCCAGCTGCAAAAGGATGCAGAGGACTCTCTAGCCCACAGGCCAAGGTGCATGGGTACCATAAAGTCTGGAAAGTGACCTAGAACCCATATGCGTAGTTAAGGTTCAGGTCATGTGACTTCCAATTGTCTAATCAAAGTGGTTCCATCGTGACCTCTGAACCACAAAGGACGTCCCTATCCAGATGCTGTAAAATAAGATGCAGACCATAGCCAAGCCTGCTCTTTTTTTGCCCTTCCTTTTGCCTGCCCTGCTGTGACAATCCGTCTAATCATCATCCATTGTGTATGTACTATGCTCTGTAAACCTGTATCTTGCTCTTGCCCTATAATCCTATCTTTCTCTCCTCAATAAACCTCATTTTCTTGCTCGCCTAACTTTGGCATGTCTGGTGATTCTTCGGCCACCAGTGCACCAAGAACTGATGGCTTCAGACTGAAACCTAACAGGTTGGCAAGAGTTCAGGTTAAAGTCAGGCAAAACTTTGTAGCCCAATTCATTCAACTTTTGAAGCGTTGGTTGTGCGACATGAGGTCAGGCGTTGTTGTGGAGAAGAATTAGGCCCTTTTTGTTGACCAATGCCGACTGCAGGTGTTGCAGTTTTTGATTCATCTCATCGATTTGCTGAGCATACTTCTCAGATGTAGTGGTTTCACTGGGATTCAGAAAGCTATAGTGGATCAGTCTGGCAGCAGAGCACCAAACAGTGACCATGACCTTTTTTTGGTGCATGTTTGGCTTTGGGAAGTGCTTTGGAGCGTCTTCTCGGTCCAACCACTGAGCTGGTAGGGGCTAGTTGTCGTATAAAATCTACCTTTTGTCACACATCACAATCCAATCAAGAAATGGTTCGTTGTTGCATACAAGAAGAGAAGACAACATTTCAAAACAATGATTTTTTTATTTTCGATCAGCTCATGAGGCACCCACATATCGAGCTTTTTCACCTTTCCAATTTGCTTCAAATGCTGAACGACCGTATAATGGTTGATGTTGAGTTCTTTGGCAGCTTCTCCTGTAGTTGTAAGAGGATCAGCTTCAATGATTGCTCTCAACTGGTCGTTGTCAACTTCTAATGGGTGGCCACTGAGCTCCTCATCTTCAAGGCTCTCATCTCCTTTGCAAAACTTCTTAAACCACCACTGCACCGTATGTTCATTAGCAGTTCCTGGGCCAAATGCGTTGTTGATGTTGCAAGTTGTCCCTGCTGCTTTATGACCCGTTTGGAACACAAATAAGAAAATCGCTCTAATTTTTTTTTTTTGTCTAACATCATTTCCATAGTCTAAAATAAATATAAAATAAACAGCAAGTAATAAGTCATTAGTGAAAAAACATAAAGTGAGAAATACACATGAAAATGATGTATAACATAACCATATTTATTGGATTTTTTCTATTTTGTTATAATCACATTTAAGAATTTATTCCAATATCAAATGGCAAATTTAAACAATGCTAAAACCGCAATTACTTTTGCACCAATCTTAATAACTCTCAATAAAGCGCAGACTAGTAAGAGAAGAGATGACAAACTTATTTACCCTGCACGTGGGGAGAATCACAGAGTGATTACCCAAAATCCCAGTGGGGTGCAGAAGTGTATATACCCTCATTTTAGAGGAGGGGGTGGGATGAAGAATATAGGTAATTCTGTTGAGGGGCAATAAATGGTTACTGGGGAGGATGAATAGGTACTTGGGAGAATGAGGGGATGGGGGAAACAGAATGACTTGTAAATGATTCTCTTTGGAAATTAAATTAACCTGAGAGACAAGTATTATTTTTGAGATGGGTTGGGCCAGGTCTGGTTGCATTCTTGATCTTCTTTCTTGCAATAGATATAGAGATAACAGGGAGGGGAAAGAAATGCAATTATTCTTCTTAATGGGTACGTCTAATTTTTAATGAAGGCAGAGGAAAAGTCCCTTCCAACACCTGTTGATCTCCAAGGGCCTTTAATTTCAAAGTACTCTTTATACCAAGTATAACAGAGTAGTCGCCCTTCCTCCTATAGATGTGGAAGGGAAATAATGAGAGTGGGGAATATGTAACAGAGGGAATGGCTTGAAAAATCATAAAAATATTTTCTATCTCTTTAAAACATCCTCCACTCCTTTTTGAGAACAAAAGCCTGCATCCCTCCCTCAGGCCAGTGGTTGGAAGGGGCAGGGTAAGTCTTTTGTTATTTGTGCAACAGGAGATGGCCCAGTCCAGACCTAGTAAAGGGAGGTTCTGGGCAGAGGTCACAAGATTGTCTTCAGCTGAGATGGGTTGATCAGCATCATCAACCGTAGTTGAACAGTAATTGCCTGAAGCTTGAGAACCCATCCTTTAAAAGCTCTGTATTTCTGCTTATTATTAGGATGATGGTATTTCAGACAGGAGTCTCCATCCTCCTCCTTTGCCAGCAAAGTAATTAAACTTCTCTTTCCTTATCCTCAAACTGCTTGTTCTCATTCTTCTAATGTGGCCTTGAGGACAAGTGCTCAAGCTTTTGGTAATACAGTCATATTTTGGGGTGAAATTCTCTGAACTCCTTCAGTACTCTAGATGTGAATAAGAATCATAAAACATTTATCTTTTTGTGGCTGGCTTATTTCACTTAGCATGATGTCCTCAAGGTTCATCCATATTGTAGCATGTGTCAGAATTTCCCTCCTTGTTAAAGCTTAATAATATTCCATTGTATGTATATGCCACATTTTGTTTGTCTGATGATGGACATTTGGGTTGCTTCCATATTTTATAACCCATCTTTATAACCATACGTCTTCTAACAAAATGTCTTGCTCATTGCTCAAGGTAATTGTTGAATTGAATGACTCAATATAGCATATAAGTGGTAGTTAATGAATACAGTATTTTAAATCATTGATGTAGCACACATTCTGAATCAGAACTGGGTGTCAAAGACAAAGATGAACCTTAGCCCACTTTTCTAGAGTGTTGTTTGGTGAACTCGGATTAGAACAAATGAATATAAATGAAAAATTTATGATGTAATCATGAGGCTTTGTATCTCCACAGTGTAAAGATATTTGTGTTAAAGAGATTAGAATATTTGTGCCTTCTCATTTAGACAGTGCAAAAGACCCTTGGACACCTTGGGTTTTCTGACCATCCC